CATAGACCAATATCTTACACCATTTAGATATAAAGGGAGATATCAGAAGAAAATTAGAAGAACATGGAACATATTACCTATCAAATTCATGAATAGGAGAAGAATTTATAAATAAACAAGAGATAGAGAACATTATAAGATGTAAAATGGGTAATTTTGATTACATTAAATTTTAAAAGTTTTGTACAAATAAAACCAATGTAGCCAAGATTAGAAGGAAAGCAGAAAATTAGGGGGAAATTTTTATAGACAGTTTCTCAGATAAAGGTCTCATATCACAAATACATAAAGAACTTCATCAAATTTATAAAAATATGTCATTCCCCAAATGATAAGTGGTTAAAAGATATGAACAAGGGAGTTTTCTGATAAAGAAATAAAAACAATTTATAGGTATGTAAAAATGCTCTAAATCATTATTGATTAGAGAAATATAAATTAAAACAACTTTGAGGTGTCATATCACACCTATCAGATTGGCTAAAATAATAGAAAAGGAAAATGATTAATGTTGTAGGATATGTAGAAAAATTGAGATGCTAATATACTGTTGGTGGAACTGTGAACTGTTCCAATCATTTTGGAGAACAATTTGGAATTATGCCAAAGAGTTACAAAATTGTGTTTACCCTTTGACTCAGCAATACCACTTCTAGGTGTTTTCCCAAGGTGATCAGGGAAAAAGGAAAAAAAACTATATGTTCTAAAATATATATAGCAGCTCTCTTTGCGGTGTCAAAGAACTGCAAAATGAGGGAACGCCTGTCAATTGGGTAATGACTGAACAAGTTGTGGTATATGATTGTGATGAAATACTACTGAGCTGTAAGAGATTATGAGCTCGATGATCTTAGAAAAACATGGAAAGACTTGCATGAAATAATGAAATGTAAAATGAGCAAAACCAAGAGAATGTTGTATACGGTAAAAGCAATATTGTTCAAAGAACAACTGTGAATGACTAAATTATTCTGAATATTATGCTCAAATCAGCTACAAAGGATTCATGAAGGAAGATGCAAGATGCGATCCACTTCCAGAGAAAGAACTTATAAATAAAAGTATGCATAGTATGGTTTTACATATATGTATATTATGTGTATATATATGCATGTGTGTATGTAAATCTATGTATATATCTGTATCAAATGGTGACCTCTAGTTCAGGGTAGGGAATGAGAGAGGGAGACAGTTTGGAACTTACAATGTAACAAAAAAATAAATTTTTAAAAATTGTTTTTAGTTGTATATCTTGGTGAAACAGTATGTTGTGGGAGGAGATAGCTGATCTGGGAATCGGGGAAACCTCAGTTTATGTCCTGCCTCTGACATCCTGGCTATGTGACCTTGTACAAATTACTTAACTTCTCAGTGCCCCAAATAACTCTCCAACACTAAAAGTTACAAAGTGTGCATCGACTTGCATTGTAAAGGGAGTTAGGAGTCACTGATCTCAAATCTGATCAGAAATTAGTATATTTTGTAAATACTTTTCCATGCACGCACTTCTCACCAATAGAATATGTTTCTGGTAGGCAAGAACGTTTTCTTTCTCATCTTGGTTATGAGGATGGGATCTAGACCCCAAAAAGGAAAAACCCTGGACTTTCCCACATGGCCAAATCTCTGGCATTTGCCTGAGGCTATAATCCCTTCAACTGGCCTTTCATTGTGGCTACACCCAATCTCTTGTTACCCTTAATCTAGCCTGGCCCTCCATGGTCTTAGGTCCCTGGCATTCTATCACCTAACAGTCTCTCACCACCCCCCCAGACTACTTGGCCACTCCTAGTTTTCTCCCACAGTCTTTCTGTATATAAGGTCCATCTTATCTCCACTGAGGTGCTCAGATTCTTATAATCTAGCCAATAGTTTACTAATCTTCAGACTCCTGAAGAGTCTGCCCAATATGACGGATGTTCTAATAAACCTTGCTGAAAGAAATCTTGAGTCGAATTCTTTTGGGCAGGACCTGTGTGTTGTGATTTTGGGGTCCTGGTGATGGGGTTGGGATCTGGTCCCAGAAAGGAAAAACCCTGGACTTTCCCTCTTGGCCAAATCTCTGTCTTTCACCTGAGGCTATGATCCCATCAACTGGCCTTTCATTGTGGCTATGCCCAATCTCCTAATTCTGTTAACCTAGCCTGGCCTTCCTTTGTTTTACCTCCCCATGTATGGCCCCCTGCCATTTCCCACCCTTAATCCTAGCTAGGTTCCATTCTCCTTTGGCCACGAGGTCCAGGTCCTAGGAATTCTGTTCACCCCAGCTTACTGGCCACTCCTAGGTCCCTCCCACAGTCTTTCTGTATATAAGGTCCACCTTGTCTCCATTAAGAGGCTATGACTCTTATAGTCTAGCCAATAATTTACTAACATTCAGACTCCTTAAGAATCTGCCCAAATATGATGGATGTTCTAATAAACCTTGTCTTTGGCTGAAAGAAAATTTGGGTCAAATTCTTTCGGGCATGACTGGCGTGTTATGACATTAGGGTCCCAGCACCCCTGAACCTCTAAACCTCAAAATTGGTATCTTCAGATGCTGCCCCAGTCCTTGTTGGCCTGAATGAAATGTAAAGTCCCCAGTATGGAGAGCCTGGACTTTACTTAGCGCCTTGCAGCCTTCACCTGGCACAGAGGGAAGGCAGCCCAGACCAAAGACAGAGGATAGAAAAAAATGGCAGGGCCCTCACTGCCATCTCCCTCAGGGTTCTGCCCCATCTTGGTGACATGTCAAAGGAAGGATGTAACATCAGTTACCTTCTGTTGGAGGATTCCCAGTTCTTCTTGCCATTCAGTTTTCCGGGAACTCTATTACCCATCCACCTCCAGGCATTCCCCCTCCAAAACCTGGCCCCAGGGGACTGAAATCCAGAAGACAAAGCTCCCCATTATTCTATTATTATTCATTTATCCCCAGTGATCCAGCTGAAGAGCCCGTGAGAACCCAAAGAGGACATTTGCATACACATACACACAAAATGAATGAATGAAAAACCATGAATTAAGTATTTATTAGGTGCTAAGCACTATGCTAAGGGCTGAGGAGAAAAATACAAAAGCTGCACAGTCCCTGCTCTCTAGGAACTTGTATTCTAACTGAGGAAATCAATCTACTAGAGGGAATAGATCCTCCAAGGAGGAGGATCTTGATCCAGAAATTGGGAAGTTGATTGACACACCCTATCCAGGAACAATAGCTGAGTTGATCTGATTGTGATTCACTACTCCAGAACTGGAGAGTTGGGGGTGGAGTGAGAGTGGGAGAAAGAAGTTGATGAGGAGGCTACAGCTGGGGTTAGAAAAGAGAAAAGTCTCACACACACACTCACACTGCCACCACCTCCAATGATCACATCCTCTCTCTTTTTTTTTTTTTTTTAATAATTTTATTTCCTTGATGAAATGGCAAATGCTAGGGCTAGGGCTTCTAGGGACAGGAAGGACCACAGTCAGACAAACAGACAGACATGCCCTGGGCCAGAAGGAAGAGGGAAAGGGATCCCCATTCATGGAGGCAATGAATTTTGAGCTAGGCAGAACTCTAATAGACCAACTGAGTCCATCGCCATCCATGTTAACTGGTAGAGAAAGGGAGGCTCTGAATGTGAAAATAGCTCACCCAAGAGCCCAAAAGCCTCTCTGGGATTTTTAGTCTCCCTCATTGATCTTTCCCCATCCCCACTTTCCTCTTCACTGCCTCCCCTATGAAAGGGTTGAGTCCCTTTCAGAGGAACTAAGAAAATCCCAGGCCCAGCCCCCACGCCCTCATGGGGAGCAGGATGAGAGCAGTAGTCAAACTTCTAGTTCAAGTCCCTTCTTCCTTCCAGCTTCCCAGGCTACACTTTCACTGGAACTTCCTCAACATTCACCCCCGCCCCCCTGCAGCACCAGTGTCTCCCCTCAAGCCAGAGGGATCCCCTAGACCCCCCCCCACCTCCAGCCCCCAGGCCTCCATACACACACACAGACACATCCAGACAATCCAGTCCAAACTATGAGACCCAGTGATTGAGGGGGTGATTGAGGGTGCCAGGCACAGATAGTTGTGACTGGGGGAGGGGGGAAGAGGGGAAAGAAGGAGGAGGGTACTCAGGGCACAGGCAGGAAAGAAATTGATAGCAACATCCATGAGAGTTAAAGAGCGGGCTCCTCTTCCAGCACTTCCAGCTTCAGGTGAAGGGATTTCTGAATTGGTGAATTAGAGAAAGAAAACTAAGGCTCAGAATCCTGCTCCACTTTTCCTAGCTCCCTGACAACTACCACCCCTCCTCCAATTCTGCCTGAAGGCTCTATTGGAATGCTGTGGCTCAGGGACAGCTAGGTGGCACAGTGGATAGAGCACCAGCCCTGAGGTCAGGAGGACCTGAGTTCAAATCCGGCCTCAGACCAAATACTTGACGTGGACTAGCTGTGTGACCTTGGGCAAGTCACTTAACCCCGATTGCCTCACCAAAAAAAAAAAAAAAAAAAAAAAAAAGGAATGCTGTGGCTCCCTATTATCTACAGTATCAAATTCAAACTTCTCAGCCTGACATTCAAAGGGAGATCTCTGGCCCCACCCTCCTCCTCCAACCTTTACTCCCTTCTCCCCTTCATTTGCACACTGCTTAACAAAGTTCCTTCCTACCTGAAGCTTTGCCCCCTGCCTGGAGTGTCCCCCTCTCCCATCCAGAATTGTCCAGCTTAAGTGCCACCTTGTCCAGGAAGCCTTTCTTGCCCTGCCCCTGCCACCCCCAAGTGACCACTACAGGCCTCAGTGTTTGTGTGGCTTAGGACCCTTCCTGCTCCGGGCTCCCCAACCAGGCTGAGGGAACATACCTTGATGAATGAGTGGCCGGTTGGCATGAGGCATCATCACTTTTTCTGCTGTCCTCCCTCATCCCCATCTGCCTCAGTGCTCTGTCCCATCTTGGTGATGTGCCGAAGAAAGGACGTGGCATTGATTGCCCTCTGGAGTGTAGTAGAGTAGCTATCAGTCTTGTTTTGCCCTTGCCCTTCTTCCCAATCTGTCTCAGGGTCCACAAGTCCCTTCTACCCCCAAATCTGTCCAGAAGGAAAACATTTCCCTCAACCCACCCGTGGCCCAGAGAGGATCACTAAGGAGCAGAGCCTAAAAGCTGGGCCTAGAGCCATTCAATCTTTGAAGAAGTCACCCTCTCTGGCCTCCTCTAATCTTACCTTCCAGTGGGTCCGAGCAAAATTCTTCTGGATCTGCTCACTGACAGAACTGAGAATGTTCTTGTCCAGGGCTGTGTCCCCAGAGATCCTAGGCACAGGGAGAGGAATCCAGAGGGTCAGGGGCGGTGGGGGGGGGGAGGCAGGGAGAGGGGGCCACCCACCCACTACCAAAGGTGCTTACCAAAGATGCTGCAAGGCTTGCTTGCAGCTGAACCGCCTCTCAGGGTCTCTCTCCAAGAGGTGTCGAATGAAATCTTTGGCTGGGAGTTAGAAAGTCCCTAGTTAGGGAATGTTCCTCTGTCCATAGTGACCTCCTCCACCCCCTCCACCCTCAGCAAGACCCCGGGGTACAGACTCTATCATCCCAGGGCCAGGAGTTGCTGAAAACTCACCCGATTCAGAGATGTCATCCCAATATGGGGAATCAAACTCATAGTTGGCTTTCAGGATCTGACTGAAGAGTTCCGAGTCGTTCTCATCATAGAACGGGGGGTAGCCACACAGACTGGGGGGACCATGGGGAATAGAGCAGTGTGGGACAGGAAAAATACAAGGCAGATTAGGAGATAAATGAGAGAGAGAGAATGGGAGGAGAGGCAGAACTACCAGCCTGTTCAGGGTCCCACCTCCCAATCCTCTAAGCTTTAACCCATCCCCAGGCTTAGCCTCAGCTCCCAGCTCCCCACCTTTTGAAGGGTTAGGGTTAGGTATCTTAGGTATCTCCTCTCCACACCCCCCCCCCAGAAGGGGCCTCCAAGCTGAGGGGTAGACAGCTAGAACAACCAGTTGCCCATCTCTAGTAACTCACAGGATATAGGAGATGACCCCCAGGGCCCAGACATCTACAGCCTTCCCATAGGGCTTCTGTTCCAGGAGTTCAGGGGCTGGGAGCCAAGCACCCAGATACAGAGAAAGACAGACAGACAGACAGACACACACAGAGAAACACAGGTATGCAAGCACACAGAAGACACAGGTATATAGGGCTCAAGAGGCAGAAAATATAGGCCCCTTGGCACCACCCTCTGCCAGCCTCGACCCACAGAGGAGAGCATTCCACGTGACCATGGGCATGCAAGGAACTGTGCATTTGGATCCTAGGCCAGCCCTCTCTGCTCCCTTTTTAAAAATCCCTTCCCCATTCAACAACCCACTGGCACCTGCCATGTCATCGGATACCGCCCACCAATGCCCACAGGCCTTGGCCCTCACCAACATAGCCTGGGGTCCCACAGGCAGTGCCCAAGACGTTGCTCTCCTGGATCTTGGACAGGCCAAAGTCAGAAATCATGATCTTAGAATCCTCAAAGGGGGTGGCATACAGAAGATTCTCAGGCTGGAGAGAACACAGAGGTCAGGAGGAGACAGAGGAGCCCTAACCCAGGTAGGGGCGGCGGGAGGGATGGGGTAGAGAGAGGGAAGACGTCTAGCTGAGAGGAAGAAAGGGAGTTTGGAGAAGAAGGGCAGTGTTGAAATATGAGGGGGTCCAGGGCTCTGGCTAGGCCCCTGGGAGCTTCAGTCCCTGATTTGGGGGCAACGCAGGTCCCAGGTCTAGGCAGGGAGTTTGGGCCTGGGGGAAGGAGATCCAAGGCCTAGGCTCTGAGGAATCATCCCTAGCTCTGCCTCCCAAGATTTCTAGGCTCCCTAGGAGCAGTTCAGATGGCCTGCTGTCTCCAAGGAGCTGAGACAGGGCTGTCCCAATCACAGGCCAGATGGGCCTTGATTCGGCTATGGAGGGTGAGTTTGGCCCCCGGGGGGAAAGTTAGCTCAGGGCTCCCCATGCTGATTCAGCTCTAGTACTTTTAAGTCACGGTGCACGATGTCCAGGCTGTGTAAGTAGGAGACAGCTCCCAAGACCTGCCCCACCAGGTGACTGGCATCCTTCTCTGTGTAAGAGCCTCGTTCCATGATACGTTCAAACAGTTCCCCCCCTGTCACCCTGGAGAGAAGGGAGCATAGGGGCTTACACTTCTCCCCCCTTCCCCAGGCAGCAGCCCACCTCCCTCCAATAGAACAGAAGCTACTTGAAGACAAAGTCTGTTTCATTTTTGCACTTAGCATAACATCTGACATGCAGGAAATACCTCATCAATGCTGAATTTGGTTCAGGTACCATCTGGGGACTCCCCTCTCCTGATCCCCAGTGGAGCCACGTCCTCCCCACCCCCTCCAGTGCCCCGTCCCCCCTCTCCTGATCCCCAGTAGGGCCACCCCCTCCAGTGCCCCATCCCCCTCACAGTTCCATGGCCAGGTAGAGATGGGAGCTGCTCTCATGGACATCTTCAAGAGCCACAATGTTGGGGTGACTGACTCTAGAACAGCAGCAAATGTTTACTGTGAGGGGGGAGCTTCAGGGGGGTGAGGGGATTGGGGCTGGGGAGGACAGAGAAGGGTACAGGGAGGAGGAACATTTCAAGACCTACAGAGACCCACATATACACAGACACTGCTATACACAAACGCAGAGGGACACACCCCAACACACACACACACACAAACACACAAACTCAACATTTAGTGAGATTTTATCAAATGCCCCTGCTTGATGCACTGTGCTAGGCATTGGAGTCACAAAAACAAACAATGATTATTTGTGTGTCATTCTCAGATAAATAAATATATACAGAGCAAAATTATTAAGTTGATCTTTAGTGCCCTAGATTGCTCCTTTTCCCCAGTGAGCCCAGAATCATGAGATCATAGATTTAAACCTGGAAGGCGAATGAGAATTCATCTAGACTTTATCTCCTCACTTTATTTTTTTTTAAGATTTTTTTTTTTTTTTGGCTAGGCAATAGGGTTAAGTGACTTGCCCAGGGTCACACAGCTAGTGTCAAGTGTCTGGTCTGAGATCACATAGGAACTCAGGTCCTCCTGACTCCAGGACCAGTACTCAATCCACAGCAGCCACTCAGCTGCCCCCATCCCCTCACTTTAACAAAGAAGGACACAGACCCAGAAGAGAAGAAAGGACTTGTCCAAGGTCACCTATATAGGAAGTGACAAGGCTAGAATATAAACCTAGGTCCACTGACTCCCCAAATAGTGCTCTTTCCACTATATCATGCTGTTCTATTCCTCTCCCTCACTCTGTTGCCCCTTTCCCCAACACAACCTCTTCTTAGAAAAAGGCGTGAGGGGGCAGCTAGGTGGTGCAGTGGATAGAGCACCATCCCTGGATTCAGGAGGACCTGAGTTCAAATCCAGCCTCAGACACATAACACTTACTAGCTATGTGACCCTGGGCAAGTCACTTAACCCTATTGCCTAGCCAAAAAAAAAAAGAAAAGAAAAAGAAAAAGGCATGAGATGCCAGTGGTTGATGGGGCCTAAGGCACAACTTCTACAAAGGGACTGTTGCATCTTAACAAGGGATGGCTTTTCACCAAAGGAATGACTATCTAACGGTAATATTTCAGGCATCAGCTCCCATGGGTTTGACTATGATTTTTATACAGATGACTGTGTCACCAACTGCCAACTAAACATTTCTACTTAGACATCCCATAAGCACCTCAAACTCAACATGTCCCAAACTGAATTCATTCTCTTCCCCTCAAATCCACCTGTCTTTGTAAGTTCCCTATTTCTATCTGGGGCACTACCATCCTTCTAGTCACCCAGGTTCAAAACCTTGGGGTCATCCTCTACTCAGTTGTTTCAGTCGTGTCTGACTTTCTATGACTCCATTTGGAGTTTTCTTGGCAAAAATGCTGGAGTAGTTTGCCATTTCCTTCTCCAGCTCATTTTACAGATGAGGAAACTGAGGCAGACAGGATTAAGTGATTTACCCAGGGTCACATAGCTCATAAAGGTCTGAGACTAGAATTGAACTCATGAAGATGAATCTTCCTGAATCCAGGCCCAGCGCTCTATCCACTGCAGCGTCACCTAGCTCATCCTCCACCCCTCAGTCCATTTTCCAACTCTTGTCAATTTTACTGCCACAATATATCTCCAACCTTACTCCTTTTTTTTTTTAGTCTCACAGCTACCAACTTAGTCCAGGCCCCAGATTGGTCCATCTCCTGGCTAGATTATTGCCATAGTCTCCTAACTGGCCTCTCTGCTTCTAGTTTTGCCCATCTCTAACCCATCCTCCACATGGCTTCCAAAGTGATATTTCTAACACATAGGTCATGCCACTTGCCCTACTCAAGAAACCCAGTGTAGGGGAAAGGAATTGTCCAAGGTCACCCATATAGGAAGTGCTTATTGCTTTGATGAGAAAAATCCTAACTCTTTGGTTTGGTCCTTCATGATCTAGGGCCTCCCAACCCTCTCTCTCTCTCTTTTTTTTTTTAAAGGCAATTGGGGTTAAGTTACTTGCCCAGCTAGTAAGTGTCAAGTGTTTGGTCTGAGGCTGGATTTGAACTCAGCTCCTCCTGACTTCAGGGCTGGTGCTCTATCCACTGTAGCGCCAGCTAGCTGGCCCCTCCCAACCCTCTCTGGGCTTACTAAACAGTCTCATTGACACTGGCTCTTTTCTAGCAAATTGGCCTGCTGTCCTCTAAACCCAGACATTTCATCTGCCATCACTGCGACTACAGGAAGAGTCTATCCTGATTCCCCAAACTGCTAGTGACCCTCAAAAAATTACTTTGCAAAAAAAAAAAATTATTTGCATATATTTTATATTTAATTGGAGAATGTAAGCTGTTTGCACCCTCAGCACTTACCTGTCACATAATAGATGCCCATACAAAATGTTTGTTGTCCAAATGGGGGATGATTATAGGTTTCCTTCTCAGAGCCCCCCTAAATCAATGCATGCTCTAACCCTGGACAGGGATGCATAGTTATACATAGTATACACGTATATGTGTGCATGAGCGTGGGGGGAAGGTTATGGTGAGGAAGTGGGGGGATTGATCAGGGAGAATTCTCTGCTCAACTCCATGAGCCCACAGGACAAGGAACCTTTGTGAGGACTCTGTCTTCCTACAAAGGATATGGCCATGGGCTGGGAGCCCCTTGAGGGACACTGCAGGTAAGACCCTCTCCTGAAATCTCTTCACCTGGGGAGAAATTGATCAGCTCCTGGATGGGAGATGAATTGTCCAGCTCTATTCATTCAAGCCAATTTGTTCATTCCCAAAAATGAGACTTCAGGGTTTGTCTCTTTCTCAATGTGGTCATCAGATCCTAAGATCCCAACTCTAGAGCTTGCAAAGACCAACTCTCTCATTTGACAGAGGAAGAAACTGAGGCCCAGGGAGGGGAGACAACTTGGCCACAGTCACACAGTTATTGGGATGGCCACAGGATATGGGCCGTACTCTATTCAGGGTCCTAGACAGAACCCCCCAATCCCACCCCCACCCCTGCCACCCCAGCCTGTAAGCTCAGTGTGCTAACCTTGAATACACAGAGCCCCCTCTCAGGCCTCCTTGGCAGGAAGACCAGAAGCCAGGAAATATTTGACCTAGGCAGAAAATAACCAGGCCCCAGGAGAAATGGGCTGCACCCTCCTCTCATTTCCCACCCCCCCTCCCCTTCCTTTTCTCCTCCTCCCCTGCTTACCCATCCTTCTCTTCCCTCCTTCCTCTCATCCCCCTCCTTCTCCC